GTTTGCAGAGTTTCAGCCTGGCAGGCTGTAAGGGGACACTGCACTGGAGAGGGGGGATATGGCTGGATGGAGCTTGGCACAAATCCAGCCAGGATTTAGCACTCTTTAGTAGCAACAAGTGCTTTAAACGTCCAAATCCACTGGTAAATATCCATCCCGACAAGGTTTAGGCAGTGGCCATCTCTCCCCATAATTATCTTTATACTTTCTTCAACCATYCCATTTCCCATGTGTGATGAAATCCTGCTGTAGATAAATCAGTCACCACACGGCCCTRAGAAACCAACTCAGCCTAACAGAGAGGAAAGCTGGTGCTTAAAGCAAAGAATAAARCAGGAATTTGGGGGCTTACAAGGAGGTCATCAGCATTTCTATCTCTTGTGTGCCAACTTACAAACATGAGCTTTGACTATTTCTAGAGTGGAGYCAGGCCCAGCCAGAAGCTGCCTGACAGAAGTGTCAGTTCCGAAAGGAAACACAGATGCCAAAGATTTTACAGGTTCTAAACCAGAGTGTTCTTTGAAGGAGGAAACCAGCATCCTTTTAAGAATCTACAGCTTGTCTTACTCAGGTCACCCTTAGAAGTTTAAACTCCTTTGCATTCTCAGCACTGAAGATCTGACATTTCAAAGCAGAACCTTGGCAAATGCAGAATTCTGTGTCCAGGTCTCAGTCTTACCATGTGAAAATATTTACTTTTCATCAGTATAAAACTAAACACTCTAGGGAAGAAAATGTAGAGTTTCCCAGTGCCCCACAGTGTAAAAGCAGCAATCAAAAGTCTGCCAGCTCCAGATTACAGCTGGAGATGAGCTAGGTGTAGAGACAACAAAGAATGTCATGTTGTTTTCATTCTTACCGAGAGATTTTTTTCAAACTTCTTGATTTGTCATTCTTTGAAGCTTTCAGAGGCAGAGAACTGGAATAGCCGGGGGAGAATAAGCATCAATCAGGAGAGGTTGGGGAGCAGGGGAGAAGCAGGAATTCAGGCAAATGAGGAAAAGAAACGAGAAACAAAAGAGAAAAGTAAAAATTATTTGAAAGAAAGGTCATCRAGCACATGCATAGGACAATATAAGAAAATAAATCAGGAGGAAAATTATCATGAGATTTTTGCAAAGTACACATGCAATCAAAAATGTCAATTCMATRCTTGAAAAAAGTACAACTGAGATTSCTTGTCCCAAYCATTTTCAAAAAAGAGCAGAATTACAAATGCAGCACACACAGCAGAAAGCTGAAAATAAATTCAGTGGTACTGAAATTAACTGTAACTGATACCAAATGGAAAGACTGTAAATACACAAAGAAAACAAYGGCAAACAGTTTAGAATGAGAACCATGGGAAGGGGGATACAAATGAGTAGCATTCATGTTCTGGTACAATCAGCAATTTACTGTTGGTTAATAAATAATATAAATACAGGTATTTTTTACTGTTCTGGGATGGCATCACTGGAAAAAAATCCAACTTTGCAAAATGGGAGATACTTTCAGGCTAAGTTGGAGAAAGAACTGTGAAAATAATCCTAGTGATTATTTAGTGGTGTTACTGGAACAAGGAAGCACCACCTTCAGCAGCCTGAGGACACACAGATGATGCAGCTTTGCCATCACATGTTCTGGCAGCTGATGGCAGGATGGACCTGCACTGACCATCAGCTCATTGGCACCTGCCACCACTGAGGCAGGGATTCCAACTCAGATACTCAAAAAAACAAAGTTAGAAAACTTCTAACAGGGAAAATCTGAACCAGGTGAAACTTTGGCCCTGGCCAGTGGTTAACGTGCATCTGACATTAATAATCTACTTTGTAATAGCACTTTATTAGTCAAATTTTAATAAAATCATGTGATGTCTGACCCAAGAGGTAGTTTATTTGAAATGAAATAGATATCATTGACTTTAAACATTCCCAAAGGAATTTGTAAATTGTTAATTTTAAAATAGATAAAAGATCCATAAATTCACACCATAATAAAGAAACCCCTACAAAATATAATTTCAAAGCCTGCTGCCTCCAGTTAGGGACCTGTTAAGTTGTATTTCTTTGTTAAACATATTTTACATACAGCCCTGTAAGCAGCCTGTGTTTAGTGGTTTGAAATGTTCCATGRAGCAGAGATGTTTAAGGGCAGATATTCAACTTTGCTAGACCAGACCCTGACCAGAGCAGTTCTTTGTGCTGAACTCAGCAATAACATTCCAATTTACTGAGATTCTGTACATGCCATTTACATTCCCTGCACCATCATATGGTTTCAATTTTCTTGTCATCTCTATTACATGTTATAGTAACCTCCACATTAAAAAATGACTACAGCAGCAATGCTGCCAGTTTCAGTTAATCCCTGACTGCGATGGTGTAATGGTAAGAAAAAAATTAATAATCAATTTTATGCTTTCCAGTTTAATCATAGGAAATGGTTTCTTGCAAGATCATGCGACATTTATTCAAGTTTCAGCTCCTTTCATTATTATCCCTGACACTTAAGTGATGCATTACAAAAAATATGCAGGAATGGAATGCAGAGTAAAATAAAGAAAGAGRGGAAATCTCCCAAGAACCCATGAGAGTAAGACGAGAAGAAAAGGGTTGAATTACTGCAGAAGAGGATCCCATTCCATTTGGGTGCCTTGCAGATCTCGCTGTRCAGAAGAGCAGAGGGTGAGGAGGGCTGGGTCAGCCAGACCCTAACACCTTCCCCTGCAGAACAATCTGAGCCAAGGGACATCATTTAACAACCCCACTCCTCAGCTGCACCAGCAGCCCTGGCTCTGCTCAACAGCTGAAACCAGAGGTTCTCAAACTCCTCGGAAAAGGAGCCAGACTTTCTAAGTGACCTGGCAGAGACACAATAGCTCTGGAGCAAACATCCAGCTGTGGGTACAAAGGGGCACTGGGGTTTTAAGGGCATCTCTGGGCAGGTTGTACACAACAGAGGAGGGGCCACTTGATTGTGGTTTCTTCTGCAGATGGTGCCAAACAGAGAGGTTCTTCTCTGCGAGCTGTGGAATGCTCTTGACACATTAAGGGAACGAGCCACAGCTTTTCTGTTTATTTGGAGAGTGCTGGCTCATTCATTCTCTTCTTTCCTTACTCTAAATGCTGGAGTCATGTTTCACACTCCCGTGGAGTTAAAGGATCATTTGGAAGGATGTCTGTTACCCACACCACCAGACTCGGCAGGGCCAGTTCCCTGTGTGACCCTGCACCTGAACTGACAGAGTTGACATCATTGCTCTCCATTTCTCAAAATATCCCCAAGGAAGGGCATCAAAAACCATTCACACAATTACTCTCATAATCTGGTTCCCCATCACTCTAAGAGCATTTTACACAACCCACCACAGCAATTATTTCAGCCATGTATTATAGAATTTTATTACCTTAAGTTGCTTTTTATTGATATCATATGTGACTAAATGATGGAGAATGAACAACACAGAGATGCAGCCAATCACTGTGCCTTTCACCCTATGGTTTCACAATTGTTTCCAAGAAGCAGAAGCTTCAGGCCATGTGTTTTATAGGAAGTTGTGGAGAATAGCTTCAAATTTTCCACTTCTTACTATTTATGGCATACTTCCATCATTAATTTTCGATGCACAGGCTCTCCACAATACCTATCAACACTGTAATTCAGTAATTTTTCATGCTAATTGTGTAAGAAGGGATTTAGTTTAGATTTTTTTGATAAACTGGTTTTCAGTATGCAGACCAATTTTGGCAAACTGTCTAATTTACACTGCATTAGTTTATTTTCTTTCCATGTACAAGCCTTACATTTTAAAAGGTCAATATCCCAATAATTCTAAATGGTGGGGAAAGGGAGGAAGCAGATCCTCAGGTGAGAAAGAATGCCATTAAAGACACAAATTTGCATCTRTTTAAGAGGTCACTTGTTGATAGGTTGGCAGCTGCACCTTTTGGGCTGCCAGTGTTAAGCCCCAGCCAAGTCAGTGAGTTATACAGAAGATGGCCCAGGGCTCTGTGCMGTTAAAAGCCTATTTCAATAATCGCACTACAACTATTCTTTGGATTTTTTACTGCTGAATTTATTAATTTGATTTTGTTAAAGCTCTTTTTTCTGATTTGCATGGTAAAAATTGATTAACTCCAAGCACTAGCACTAACTGTTATGCTTTGATTTCAAATGACAAAAGGATAAAATTACCACTCTCACTCAAAAAACTTYGCTGTTATGACTTTTATCTTTCAAAGCAGTGTTCGTTCCATTCACACAAACTGASAATTAAAACAGAAATGGATCAAAGTCTCATTCTCACAACTTAAACTGAAGAGGTGTAAGCCCAGCATGACTGCACTGACTTGGCCTGCTCCAGATTAATGCTGCTGTTCCAGAGAACAAGGTGTCAGCCAGAAACAGGCACTGTGACTTTATGGGAAGTTTGCTCTGACATCTGCTCACATATCAGGAGTGGGATCACAAAGGCATCTTTTCCTCCCCACTTAGAATATACAGAAAACCAATTCAGGAGCTACACAAGGTAAAGAAAAACTCAGGAGATCCAGGAGCAGGAGTACACTCCTATCTAGGCCAGTGGCAGTAATTCAGTGTGTCTAAGATGGGGCACAGCTGAAGAACAGGGGCCAAGATGGACACAATAAGCCTAAAAACTCTTTCAGCTCCATTATGTAACAAATCAAGGATATTCCAAATGATCTTATCACTTCTCCCCACTCCAGTGAAATCAGGGGCTGTTTTGGTGCCAGGGCAATGAATCTTTCCTTTTCACCACTTCCCATTCTGCTGCTGGCAACACTCACATCCTTACAGACCTGGGCAKTTACATTTTAAGTACTTTAGACTCACTGTAAAAATTAGTTTCCTTAGACTTTGTTGAGAAAAAGCTTCCACCATTCTCACTGAATGATTCTGGTAATAATGAACACCTTGGTGACAAGCAATGGTACCAAGTGTGGCCTTTCTTGGAGCCACCCACAATGTCACCCATGCGACTGCCAGCGATGGCAGTGGCTGGAGAGCACGCAGACAGGGTGACAGTYGTGGTTTTGGTTAAACACTAGGCTGCAAGGAACCAGCAGCACAGATTATGAGGCAGAGGGYTTGTTTCAAAGCAGCTGTAGCTTAGGGTTACCTTCTTTTAGTGTTCAGGCTGGTGTGAGCCATCACGAATGTCTGGGTTTCRGTCACTTCCTTCACTGGCACAATATTGGCTGATGACAGGTTCCCTTCTTGCTGTTTGGGCTGTCCACACACTTTATCAACCTGTATGAAAGGAAAACAGGATGTGAATGGAAACTGATTTACAATCATTCAACCGTCTTGAGCGTTCATTGCAGTCAGTGTTTGCTGCATGAGACATTGTCTGGGTGAGAGAAAGGAAGGATAGAAAGGATTCTTCCTTCAAGGACCTGGAAACAAATGCCTTGCAAAAGGAACAAATTATGTGGCAGGGCAAAGAACACCAGAATGTCAGCAGACATGGATTTGTCACTGGCTACCTGGACTATGGAACACCTAGGAACAGGTTGAATACTGACTGACAGAAGCGTTGGCAAACCAAACTTTTATTTAGAAACACACCTGGAGTTTAAAGGTACATGGATTGTGGTGGAAAATCAGCCCCACGTACAGAGCAGAAGCTATCTGGAATTTGAAGAGTTGTAATTAGAAGACAGCCAACTCTTCCAGCCTTTAACCAGGCCATTAACATCACTCAGTCCTCAGCTTGTGCTCATCCTTCACGCACTGTGGATCTGACACTGCTCGTGAATCCTGACACATTTATTTGCTGAATCACCTTTAAGTGACAATAGTAAGACAAGTCTCTTCCCTCTCTAATCCACAAATGAGTAATGTGTAATGTTTTACCTACACTTAAATCCCCGAGCAAACATGAAAAGACCACAAAGGAAATCCTACTGTGGGCATGGTAACACCAGTGACCTAAACCCCACAGACTGCATTATCTGCACAYGCTGGATTTGATATCCCTTCTTCACTCTTCCACTGTAAACAAGGTGAGAGGATTCTTACTAGTCTGTGCACTTTTCTGAATCTTTAGAACCCTCATGAGTCTACTGAATATTTCAGACCACAGATGASTTCAGATAACTTTCTCTGTCCCTCTGCACCACTCTGATGCAGATGGCAGCACAAGGACAGGAGACAGTTTTCTCTGCCTTAGCCCATTTCCTCCAGGAACACCACCATCTGAAGCTGAGAGATTCTCCTCTGAAAAACAGGCAAACTGAACATTGAAAACTGGGAGCTCTATAGGCATGACAGCTACTGTCAGCTTTGGTTATGTGAGTTACAGCCCAGCSCAGTCTGATATGCTGTGAAGAACCTAAAGCTGCAGCCACTGAATGGGAACATCCTGGATTGATCCGACACATCTCCAGCAGGCAGAGTGGGAGCCACTGCCTCGCTCAACRCCATGCACTGTGCATGTTGTGCTGCTCTCACCAGGGACTAGCACAGCACTGTGTGAAAGTACAGCTTTGTGAAATAAAATAGGCTATTTCAGCCCCTTCTAAACTTCTGAGAAGGAAAAAAGCCCACTCTCTGTAAATGAAAATATAAAATAAAAATGCTTTTTGAAGCCTCTAGAGCTGGACAGAGRGAGTAACACAGCTGGACCACATTCCTGCACAGGATGCTTTCTCCCCTCCACCCCAGGTTTCCCAGAGCACACAGACCCAAATTCCCACCAGAGGTCTCTGCAAAATCCATCTTAGATTACATCACATCACTAAAGTTCATGTCTTCAAATTACACACACCTCAAACCTTGTCACCATGGATTTGTGAGAGTTTTTACCAACTAACATCAGAGTGCTTTGCAAAAGCAATGTGGTTCCCATATACATAAGAGATTAAGAACTCCCAAGTTTCTTGTTTTTCCTGAAAAAAAGATTCAAAGATATTTAAGTCATCATTTTTGTTGTGAATCAACAGTTTAAGCATCCAACTGAAAATACCAACTTTGTTTTGATTTGAATTTTTGATACTATAGAAACAACTCTCTAGATTGCCCAGGTTTCAGTATTTTCTATGGCAAACCTGTGTTTTAGGACTTTCTTTTAAAGCAATAATAAGAGTTTCCTGCATATCAAACAAAACCACATTATYTGAAGGAAAATATTTTCTCAGTGGAAAATTTTAACCAGTTCTACGCTGCTAAGAATGAAGTAATKTATTAAATAAAAGGGTAAATCATACTTTTTTTTGTCATACAGGCCTTTCAGTGCCTTTATTCTCATTCCAGCTCCCCTGGCTGGTTCCAGGTCAGGCAGTCCCAGCCAACCTCAGGCTGGCCACTTGTCACCTCTKTTCTTCACACCCCTTCCTGTAGGATATTTCCCCCAAGTTAGCATGGATTACYAGCTTCTCTTCATTCCCAACCTCTTTGGGGCAAGCAAGGATAGAGAATTTCAGCCCACCCATGCAGGTGCTGTGCAAACTTAATCCCATGAGTGTGGGTGCACCCTGCACCTTTTAAACTTCCTCCCAGAAGATTGTCTCCCACCAYTCCTGAGTTATCCCTCTTTGGCATTTTTTGTTTCAGATTCTGTATGAATTAAACAGAAACCTGACTTTAATTTTTATTTTTTTTTTTGTGTGTGGACTAAATTTCTCCAATCACCAAAATATGTGCTTTTCTACAAAATAAAACAGCATTAAAGTCTGAATTTTACTAGTTAATTTGGGCTGTCACAAAGCTGAYGGCACGAATGAGAACACTCATGTACAGAAAACCACCTAAACTTCCAGATGCCACATTTATGAAGAATAAATCGATGTTGTGTAAATTGAGAAGTATGAGCCATGTCATAAAAACACAAAAAGGTGTTTTCTGGAAGTGCAGCATCTGGGATCTACTGCTACRAATTCCCAATATGTTAAAAACATAGAGTTTCCCTCTTAACCCAAAGGTACCCAACAGCTGCACTGCCAGTTTAACTCAGAGCTCATGAACCAAGCCTCACCACCCAGAGAAAAAACAATGCACCTGGAAATGTGAATGGAATTTTAAAGCTCTTTTCCTAAATTCAAGTTCTTGTATTTGGAACAATCAGGAATCACAAAGAATGACTGAGCYCATTTCTTTGAATTTTAAACTTAAAATAAGTCTGCCAGTCTTAAATTACAAACTGACAGAAAATCATCCTCATTAATGGTAAGACCCTAAGATCATTCTGTTTGTCTCTACCATGATTTTTAAGCAAGTCTGTCTTCTAACAGTGAACACCTACAGCAGAAAATTGGTATGCAGAATCTCCTTAGCTCCTGAATTATCAAGCATGTTTCACCATTCTAACGTTTTTATTCATATTACAGGTTTGTTTTTTTTAATACACCAATGATTCCTCTTAAATATCTGTTTTTCTAACTGTAGCTACATTGTTTCAGCTGTGAACTTCCCTTGGTAATGACATACAGAATTACATATACACACATTATTTGACCTCTTACTATTTGTTATGAAGAGTGACTATTTACAATTATTGCAGAGGCTTAACAAAATAAATCGAAAAATTCTCAGCCAGAATCTTTTTGAACTCTTACAGCTTGAGTAACCTTAAACATTCAGGTCTTATTTAATATATTTGATATAATCAAACATGGGAAAAATGTCATGCCCTTCTGGATACCAAGAGAATCTTATCTCTCTAAAGCAGGAGACCTTTTCACTAGTGCAGAACAGTAATTTTCTTTTGATTTTGTAATGGGAAGATTAGTGTTTCAAAATAAAAGATTCTTCTAGTGATTAGGCTTTGAGTTTTTATTAAAATGCTGACATATTTGCCTGCAGATTTCTGTCCCCAACCCAACCCAGCTCTGTCAAACACCTCTGACAAATTACACCCCACAGCCCCAAATCCAGCACTGCTGTGCCCCACAAGTTCCTCAAACACGCTTCAAATCACAACTGGAGTTTGCTCCAGGTTCCTGCTACCAAGTTTGAAGCGAGGGAAGCACCAAACACTGAATTCTGGGGAAATCAGGTTTGAGTTGTCAGACTTGCATGYTCACCAGGAGGTCTCACTGCCTTTGGGTCAGACATATGCTTGTCTCACTTGATTACCAATCATAAAAGGAACCAACCAGGATCAYTTGTCATTTCTTGCTGCCCAAGCATCAACCAGAATTTATTATGGAAGCGGGAAATTCTCTCCTTATGGTTGCTGTCACCTACAGGTATCACTGTAAACAATTTCCAGTGCTCAAAGGCTGAGTGGGAGCCCATGTGATAAAACACAATTCAGGGCTCATGGCTCATTGCCACTGCCTTCAGCTTATTGAACAGAATTGGGCAGGAGAGCAAATAACYTCTGATTTTGCTTTCTTTTAAACATTGTCTCCCTTATGGAATATTTTTCCTATTAAGAACATTTTGCTGGTAGCAGAGTTCAGCAATACATAAACAAACTAAGGGATTATTAGTTCATTTTCCTACATTAATATGTTGGCTTTCACTTGGGAGGGGAGCATTCTCTTCTGTCTCATCCTGAATCTACTGAACAGTTCAATTTAAATTAATTTCCTACAAATCTTCTGAAAGCTGGCAGCTACAGAAGTTGACCCATACTGGATAGTAGAGATTCCTCCAAGGAGAATGGTGTTATGAATTCCTCAGGCACAGAAAAACCTTCAGTCAGACTTCACACTTAGACATCAAAGAATTCAGACACAGAATTTAAACCCATAACAAATAAGGCTCTGTGTGTTCTCTAGCTGTAATCAAGTGATTTGAATTACAGTAATATTTCTAGATTGAGTTTTGGAATCAASATACAATGTGCCAGAAACAAACAATCCTGCAAAAGCAAGTGCTCACATTCTGAGGAAACAATAAACTAGAGACACATGCTGGAAAATGATGGACATATACAAAGAGACTGAGTTACAAACCATCCTGGTATTTCTATGAAACAACTGGGCTCCAGTTACTCTTGGGCATATCTCACAATATCCATCAAAATATTCACAATAARAATATTCTCACAATATTCATTCAAACAAAAAAAAAAAATCAACAGGAAAGCAGGCAGGTTCRACCAGTTAGGGAGGAGGACTGGGAGCACATGTGAAGCCTGAGCACCCATCCCAAACTCAAACTCAAACCCACTGACRTTTTACAGCTACACATAAAGGAGGGGTGTGTAGGGGAAAGTTGAATTAATTGGTCAGGGAATTTTTCAATACTGCTGAGGGATGTAAGCTCACACAGACTTCCAGTCAGAAAGGGACAAGTTTCCA